CCCGTGCCAATCATCAACAGAAATGCTCACAACAATGAAAACCTCGGAGGAAGAAGAGTGCCGCCGGGTGGGCAGGCAGGTGTCTTGCTCAGCTGTGGCTTGGAGGGCACTTTTTCAGTGCCATTATAACTTCGAACAATCACTAAGCGAACTGTTGTAAATCAAGGACTACCTGTACTTTATCACTTTTTTCCTTTTTTTTTTTTTGGCCATCAAGTTTTTGACACCTTGCTAGGCAACTGGTAGTAGTCAGATATTGCCATATCCTAAAAGTAATACAATGGATGAAAAGGTTGAAATATATTATTTAGATAGATAGATAGATAGATAGATAGATAGATAGATAGATAGATAGATAGATAGATAGATAGATAGATAGATAGATAGATATTTCCCAGATATACCCACTATCCCAGTGAGACACTTACAGATCCCAAACACATTATAATAATGATGCTGGTGGTTTGTGGCATACATCATCCTATTTATTATAAAAGTATGTTTTTAAATTGGACAAAAAAGATATGAGAGCATACAGGTAGTCCTCAACTTATGACCACAACTGAGCCCAAAATTTATGTTAAGTGAGAAATCTGTTAAGTGATCTTTGCCCCATTTTACGACTTTTCTTGCCACATTTGTTAAATGGATCACTGCAGTTGTTAAATTAGTAACATGGTTGTTAAGTGAATTTGGTTTCCACATTGACTTTGCTTGTCATAAGATTGCAAATGCTGATCCCTTGACCTCAGGACACTGCAGCCGGCATAAATAAGAGTCAGTTATCAAGCATCCAAATAGTAAATCATATGACCTACAATGGTCTTAAGTATGAAAAATGGTTATGTTATTTTTTTTCAGGGATGTTGTAATTTCAAATGGTCACTAAGTGAATGGTTGTAAATTGAGGACTACCTGTATTGATATTTTCTGATATGAGATAGTCTTTTGTTCCTAAAGGGTTTAAACCATATGTCCAGCTATATACTATGAAAATGTCAATAAAATGTGTGTCATCTAACATAGCCTAGATATCTACTATAACCTAGATCAGCGGTTCTCAACCTGTGGGTTGTGACCCTTTGGGGGATCAAACAACCCTTTCACAGGGGTCGCCTAAGACCATCAGAAAACACATATTTCCGATGGTCTTAGGAACCAAGACACCGCTCCGTATCCGTCTCCGCTTGGCCTCCTCCGCCATTTGCAGAGAGAGACAGAGAGGCACTTTCGCTTCCCTTCTCTCTCTCAGGTGGACTTACCTCCTGCAGGGCTCCTGATTGGCCCTGCGCCCAGGTGCCCCACCCCCTGGGAGAAGAGCGGCCAGGCCCTTGTGGCCTTGGAGCCACATGGGGAAGCCCCGGGTTCCCTGCTGGGAACGGCCTGCTGGAGGCTCTGCTGAGCGGGCCAGCCCTCCTGCAAGCTGCGGCCCAAGGGAGACCAGCCCCTGCGATCCCCAGCCAGCCGGACCATTGGACCCACTGGCAAGGAAGGCGCACCGGAGTCCAGGCTGCCGGGAAGGAAGAAGGAGATTCAGCAAAGGTAGGAGAGGAGAGCCGCCTCCTGTGGCCCAGTGCTGGCGGCGGCTTCCTTGCCATCCTTTTCCTCCTCCACTTCTTCCTCCTACTGCCCCCAAGGTGGCTCGGGTGGGCACTGGGGCAAAAGGGGTGCCTGGGGGGGAGGAGCCGGGCTGGCAAAGGGGCTGGCAGCGGCCACACGGCACCAGCCCCCACCGCGGCTCCATCGGATGTGCAGAGGGCGAGGCCGGGCAGCACAAAGTCCCGGTTGAGGCGGCGGCAGTTTTTTCGCCCTTCTCTCCTTCCTCCTGCTGCCCCCAAGGCAGCTTGGGTGGGCACTGGGGCAAGAGGGGTACCTGGGGGGGAGCATCCAGGCTGGCGGAGGGGTGAGGCCAGGTCGTGCGGCACCAGCCCCCACTGCAGCTCCATCAGATGGGCGGAGGGCGAGGCCGGGCAGTGCAGAGTCTGAGCTGGGGTGGTGCAGCGGTTTTCTCGCCCTTCTCCTCTCCTTCCTCTTGCTGCCCCCAAGGAGGCTCAGGTGGGCACCGGGGCAAGAGCGGTGCCTGGGGGGAGCAGCTGGGCTGACGGAGGGGCTGGCAGGCCACGTGGCACTAGCCCCCACTGCGGCTCCATTGGATGGGCGGAGGGCGAGGCCAGGCAACGCAGAGTCCCAGCTGGGGCGGCAGTTTTCTCACCCTTCTCCTCTCCTTCTTCCTCCTGCTGCCCCCAAGGCAGCTCGGGTGGGCACTGGGAGGAAGAGGGGTGCCTAGAGGGAGCAGCCGAGCTGGCGGAGGGGCTGGCAGGCTGCGCGGCTCCAGTTCTCACTGGGGCCCGCCAGAAAGAGAGAAAGAAGGGGAGAGGAAAGAGAAAAAGAAGAAAGAGGGAAAGAGGAAAGAGGGAGAGAGAGAAAGGAGAGAGAGGAAAGAGAGAAAGAGAAGAGAGAGAGAGAAGAAAGAGAAAGAGGAAAGAGAAAAGAGAGAAACAGGAAAAGAGAGGAAAGAGAGAGAGAAAGAGAGAGGAAAGAGAGAAAGAGAAACAGGAAAGAGAAAAAGAGAGGAAAGAGAGAAACGGGGAGAGGAAAGAAAAAGGAAAGAGGGAGAGAGAGAAGAGAGAGGAAAGAAAGAAAGAGAAGAGAGAGGAAAGAGAAAGAGAGGAAAGGAAAGAGAAACAGGAAGAGAGAAAGAGAAAGGGAGGAAAGAGAGAAGAGAGGAAAGAGAAAGAGAAAGAGAGGAAAGAAAGAGAAAGAGAAAAAAGAGAAAAAGAGAGAAAGAGGGAGAGGAATGGTGCTTCTCCAACTTGGCTGGGAAGAGCCAGCGGAACAGCCTTCCTGCCCCCCTCCCCGGCCAGCTGGATGGAGGGTTGGGGGTCACCACAACATGAGGAACTGTATTAAACGGTCGCAGCATTAGGAAGGTTGAGAACCACTGACCTAGATTATACAGGGTTTTTCTCAGAAGCCTTTTCATAAGGGACATCTAATACAGGCATACAAAAAATAAATATGTCTGGGCTTCTTTGTATCATATTATTTAAGTAAAATTCTATCTCCGGATTTCAGTTTGGAAAAGACTTTAATAGGATTAGTGCTATAGTCAAGAGGTATTTGTTGTATGTTTGCTGCCCAATGAGAAGCACTTCAGGTTGCTTTTTTCAACAGCAAGCTATCATACCTACCCAAAAATGCTTAACTACAATATCCTGGTTGTTATCTGCTGACGTGTCCCAGCATAACTAAGTATAAACAGATTTGCTTGAAATAACATATTTGGCCTCTTTAAAACTGCAAGCAGATGGCTAAATTCGAAGGTCATCTAGCAGCAAATAAATGCCATAGTCTGCTCTTTCCTCTTGTGGATTGCAAAATATATAAATTGCTTCAAAGGAAATTAGGGAAAGCACTTGCACTATGGTTCCCGTTATTAAATATGATGTAGAATAACCTTGCAGCTGCCCCGAGGTTATACCAACTTTACAATGGATCAAGGAAAGTTTATCCTATTTCCAATGACACTAAGCCTTTTCTAGAACACATTACAGTATCTTTCCCTCTGCATTTGTGGATGTAACTATATTATCTTTTTTGCACAGATCATGTTCCAATGCCTCTGAAGAAATTGAAAGTTTAGAATTGGTCTCTCTGAAAGTACAAGAAATTGTGCTTTCAACTAATCCAACCCTTAACACATAAGACTGCTTGACCATTCTAACCAATGGTATTTCATTTTTTTTCCTAACAGGGAAGTACTCTGAAATCATTATATATTTGCTAAATTCTATGCCTAAGTCATAAAGCTTGCTATGTGTTCAGACCTGATAATAGTAGGTGTATTTTGTATTTGATATTATAATTTAAATTATTGTATATACCCAACATTGGAGGGTGAATTCACCTTTATAACTGATTAAGCTTTCTTACTGCTAACTTTTCTGTGGAATTCTCATCATGTCAAAATCCCATCAGTGTCATTTTATTTGAAGGAAAAAATGATAATGATGCTTTTAAAATGTTATTTTGTCTTAAGTGTATTTGGGAGATATTTTAAATGTAAATGGGACAAGTGTTATACTGCTATTTCTGAGAATTAAAAAAATTAAGTGCCCCATAAATCAATCTTCTCCAAAGTGGTATCCTCTGGGCTTCGATATTATTCCCAACCAAACATACTCAGGATCCAATATATATATAGAATACTAAACTGGAAAACAGAGTTATAAATCATGAAAAAATACAAAACTGACACAAAAGATTTTTCAACAAAACAAAAAAAGGTTTCCACAATGTTTATAACGTACTGACTCATGCATGTTTTCAGTGGTCTCGTTGCTACAGAATTATCTATATTTATTCAAAACATTGTAAGCTTCATTTTACTCCCGTGGTGGCGAACCTATGGCATGCGTGCCACATAGAGCCCTCTCTGTGGGTACGTGCACCATCGCCCCAGTCCTAGGCCTTCAGCTCAGTTTTATAAAATCTTTTTGCTTTAGGCCTCCGCTGCCATGTGCAAAAAAAAAAAAAAGTTCAATCAATTTCAACTTCTCACGGAAAAAAAAAGATCTCGCAAAGTTGGAATTGATTGAACTTTTTAGTCCCACCCAATCTGCCGTTACTACCACAGTCACACACACCCAATGGGCCACGCCCACCCAATGGGCCACACCCACTGAGTGGGCTATGCCCACCTGGCACCCGAATATACACAAGTGGGTTTTGGGTTGCAATTTGGGCACTTGGTCTCTACTCTATATTGAATATTTCAAAGCAGAAGATTTGGGAATCTTATAAATGGATTGGACCGGAAAATCTATAGGTTTGTTATAGCTCTGAAGTTTTAAATAAAATTTTTTAACAAAACTAAAAAAAATTAGTTGCATGATTTATATTCTTGACAACTAATGAATATATGTGAAATATTTTTCTTTCAACAATTCATGTGTCTATCAGCATATAGTTCTGAAGTTTGCGAAATACTTTGGTTGCCATAGGTGCTGAATGCTATTTATTCATTCTGAGTCAGATGACAGATTCGGATTAGAAACTTCTGTTATCCATTAACAACAATTACAACACTAATCATGCCACTATACGTCAGCAGTATGTACACAAACAATACATTAGACAAAATTTCATCTGTGCTGCAACCCTAGTAAAACCTATTGTATCCTGCCACACAGCTGATAAACTCTATCATACAATGGGACTGCCTAAAATTCTATTAAAAACAGGAACATGCAGTTTGGGCCACATGCATATGTATCTAGAAAAAACTCTGCATTGAAATCAGCTGGGTTCATTTCTATAAAAATATGCATGGATAGAAGTTTTGTCTCTTGTTAAAAATCTCGTATGAATGTTAATACAAACTTTTGCATGCAATAATAAGTTAATACCACCAGATGAAATCTGCAAAAATCTGGACAACTATTAGATGACAACAAACAGATAAAGAAAACATTAACATGTTTGGTGACAGAATTTTTGCAACTCTAGCAGTGTTTACCAAAACTATTGGAAAATACTGTATGTAGAAACTGCCTATAAGTTTATTAACCAAAATGAATCTTTCATATTAATAATAGGCTTTTCTTCACAAATGTTTTTAAACTACAGTACTGAAACAAATTATAAATAAAATGATTGATGGGGTTCTTCAGATGCAATTACTTTTGTATGAAGTTATTTCTCTGTAGAATTCCACGTGACTGTGGGAATTGTCAGTAGATTACAGATATACGAGTGCAACTATATATCTTAGAATACAGGAATATTCAAATAGTAATATGAACCTTCAGACTTACATTTGATCATAGACCATATTACAAATTTTATATATTTATAGCTATTTTTTCCTCTTATGAAATGCTGAAATGTACATGCAAATTAGTTATGAATAAAAATCCATATGCATATAATGGAAGCCCTTAACATAATCATATACGTTTATACATAAATACATCACATATGCTAGCTGTACATGCAGCTGTGTACAACAAAGAAAACTAACAATAAAAAAACAGATATCCAAGCCTGTCAAGAAATGACACTTTTTAAACAAAAGATTTTTAGAACAAACCTATTACTTGTTAAAAAAAATGACTGAATTTAGATGAGTCAGATTCACATGAGTCTGCTGACCAGACACATCACATGATGAACAAGCTTTCAAAACAATTGCTTCTTCTTGAAAATATCACAAAGCGTTGTTTGTTTTCATATTTCAGACTCAAATTGCTAACATTGGATTCCAATTCAGTTTTACTGAACTAAAAAGACATTATTTTTAAGGGAGTCATCTTGCAACACCAATTTAAAAGTGCCCCCGTGAGAAATTTATTGATAAACACAATTTATTTTGCATATTTTATCTTTTTTAATGGAAATGACCGATTTAACCCTGATAATGTGGACCTCAAGTGAAAAATGTGGATTGCTTTGTTTGATGGTCCAATGGATTGTTTTCTTGGCTATGCATGATATTCTCAGGATAGTCTCCAACCTCAAAGTTCAAAAATGTTTTCCATATCAGTCTAACTTTCACTTCCATACAGTAACAAAGAGAAACCATGGCTTCCACAATTCTAATCAGTGCAGATATATAGGTATCTGTGTACTTGAATATCTTTTGCAAGGCCTTCATGGCTGCTCTAAATACTAGGAGGCAGCATATTTCTTGATTGCTGAATTAATGGAAATACTTGATATTTACTGATTTATGAACGGAAATAGTTCATTTCATATTTTTAACGGGAATACTTCAAATACGTATCGCTGTCACTTGGTATCAAGGTTTTCGATTTCAGCATTATCTTCACAGCAGCCCTAACAAGGAAACACAAAATAAGAGTACATTCTGAGGAAAAGAAAACGGCAGCAAGATTAACATTTGAGCAGATGTATTTGGAATTCAATTACGCAGGGGGGAGGGGAATCACACGACCCGTCACACTGAAGTAACCGGCTGCGACGCGAAGATCCTATCCTAATATAAGGCAGCCAGAAGTCCGCGAGACTAACTTTTGAGCAGCTACACCCAAAGAACTCAGCTTGGGGAACGGGCCAAAACGAGTCCCCAAAGAACTGGGCGTGTTTGTGGGCAGGGACGAAGAGTTGCGCGTGCCGGTGGCGTGAGAACGAGAAAGCATCACCTCACCAGAAAAGGCGAGCGACTCTCTGAGCGAAGGCGGAGCCGACCGTCCCGGCTGCCGGCTTCAACTCCGGAAGGGAAGGGAAAGCCGTCTCGGTGCCTCCCTCCGGTGGCTTTGCTCACCAATAGCAACGCCCCGCGTAGAAAACCGCGAGGCGAAGGGACGGCTCACCCGGCTTCTCAGCCACACTTCCTTCCGCCTAATAGGCAAAGCCTCGCCGGGGATTCCTAAAGCTGACGGCAAAGCGAGCCAGGGAGGTACAGCAGTTTCTCCGGAGATGCGCGATCAGTTTACTCTACGGGGCCAGAGCTGGGGGAGGCTCTGCGGCCTGTGCGTCACCGTCGCCCTTTTACTGGCCCTTCTGCCCGGCCGGGTAAGCGAGGGAGCGAGCGGAGAGTGGCGTGTGAGAGGGCGAATCTGGAGATGGTGCAGATGCGGGTCCGAGAATAGTCTTTGAAGCCTGACGGAGGGAGGGGAAAGTAGCTTGAGCTTGTTTCAGGCCTGGGCAGCATGTGCTGTACGGAGGCGTCCTCCAGTTTGTGGACACCCGCCATAAACTCTTTCTGCACCAACCCTGTTGCGTGGGATAAGGAGTTACCCCATCTGCTGGGGGGGTAAGGGGGTGAGGTGGACACGCCTCCTAGTCCTATGAAGCAAGCTTTGGCAAAAGGCATGACTGTAATATATTCCAAGTGCCTTAAGTGTTTACTTGAAAATAAGTCTTTATTAAACTCCACAACTTATTGGAGTCACATCTTTTCCCTGGTGGACGCCTATAGAGAGTTTGATTTCGGAGTGACATTCCTGAAGATGGTTCTGAGTTTAAGAACTGTGTCTCGGCAATTGCATAGAGCAGTGGTTCTCAACCTGTGGGTCGGGACCCCATTTGGGGTCGAACGACCATTTCACGGGGGTCGCCAAACAACGCAGTCCGCCATTTTTTCCCCCTTTTCCTCAGCTGTGCTACTCCCTTTTATTCTATTGGCTTTTGAAAGCCAATAGAATAGACTCTCTTGAATAGAGTCTAATTCTATTGGCTTTCAAAAGCCAATAGGAATTGTCCAGGCTGTCTCTGCCCTGCTGAGGCCGCCAAAAGTCCCATTCTGCAAACGGTGCTGCACCAGTTGAGTAGTCCTCGACTTACAACTGGTTGAGTAGTCCTCGACTTATGACTGGTTGGGAGTCGCGGCATTAAAAAGTTGAGAACCACTGGCATAGACCAAAAATTGGGCAGATAAAAATAACCTGGGATTAAGGATTAAGCAGCAAAGGTTGCTATCTTAATTACGAGGGCATAAATTAAAAAGAGTGATGCTGTTTTATGAGAGTTTTAATCAGTGCTTTTTTTGTAAAAAAAAAAAAAAAAAAAGGTGCCTGAACTCACACATGTCATACAACCCGCCTTGCCTACCCTACAAAGTTCCATCCAAAAAAGGTGCCGGAACTCCGTTCTGGGAGTTCTATGAGAAAAAAAGTGTTGGCTTTAATTATGGGTGGTTGTAGTGATCTGCAAAATATAAGTTGTGATACACTACGGTATTGAGTTGGAAAGCAGTTAAACTGTAGCAATTTGTAGCTTATCATTGTAATGTATTACATAATTCAGCAGTGTGCATGGCATAATATACACTGTAGCTTTAACTCAGCTTACTGAAACCTACAAAGTAAATGCAAGAACAGGAATGCAATGGAAGGATAGAGGAAGGCTAAATGTCCCTGTATCAACTGCATCTGCTTAGAATGCTGATATACTTACAACAGGAAATGAGGGGTGTCACAAGGAGGTTCTCAGAAACAGTTTCAGTTATTTTGGATGAAGTGTGGAGGAAGGTTTCCATTGTCACTTGCTTGATGATTTATTTTCTGCAAAGACTGGTTATACCTGACAATTGACTTTTTTGTGTGAAAATAGACTCATTGTATCCACTTTAATTTTTAAAAAAGTATTGAAGTGTTCACAATATGAGATACTGAATCTCCCATAGAGATTATTAAAAAACAATTTAACAATGCAACAGATAACCAAATGAATTAATTGTAAATATCCAACTCTTTAAGAGCAATATTCTTACAGCAGATAAAAATGGAAGGTCATCTGGGGAAAGTAACTTGCAAGATGTCACTTTTCAAGATACCTAAGTAGACAGGTAGTACTTATTTAAAACCAGTGTCAGTTTTACTACACTAGTGCTTAGGATGACCTTTCTGTGATATTCCAATTTTTTTTACATTTATGAGAATTTAAACATAGTATCTTCTGCACTTTGACTCCAGTTAAATGCCTAATGAGTAGTTTTCCAAAGATACTATTTATTTTGGGCATTCTAGCAACAACTACTAGCTTAAGAAGGTGCTGTTTCCAGATTTGTTTGCTTCAGAAATGTGATTTATTTATATTTCGTATTTCTTAACTGCCTATCTCCCTCAGATGACACAGTCCTCAGAGAAGGAAAATAAGCTTATCTGCCTTTACAGTTTGTTACAGGCATAATCCATGATATAGTTCTTCCCCTTTTCTGGTGTTATACTTCACATCTATATGGGCTGATCATGAAAGTGCTCTGTGTAGGTAAGAGTATTCTACGACTTCCCTGCTTCTGCAAGAGATATTCACCTTCTGGAAGATAGCAGTAGACTATTCTGTTGAAGTGATTAAACTGTGCTTCAGAATATGTTTAATTTTGCCTTTTCATCTTACTCTAACTTAACTATACATCAATGTATTCATTTGGTCAATAATCAGCGATTAATTTCTAGAAGTTGCAGATTGCTTTACTCATCCCAGTACTAAGGAAGATTTATTTATTTATTTATTTATTTATTTATGAGACTTATATACCGCTTTAAGTGCAAGCACTCTCTAAGCCAGTGGTTCTCAACCTTTCTAATGCCGCGACCCCATAATATAGTTCCCCATGTTGTGGTGACCCCCAACCACTTATACATCACCGGGTGCCAGGGGCGTGGCCAAAGAAAATGGGAAAAAAATGGCGGACAGCCTTGTTTGGCGACCCCCGTGAAATGGGGTCCCGACCCACAGGTTGAGAACCACTGCTCTAAGCGGTGTACACCAATAAGCAATGTATATATATATTTACATTGCCCCCAACAATCTGGGTCCTCATTTTACCTACCCCGGAAGGATGGAAGGCTGAGTCAACCTTGAACCGGTGAGATTTGAACCGCTGACCTGCTGAACACAGTCAGCTAAAGTGGCTCTAACTGCTGCGCCACCTTGGCTCATACATAAGATGGGGCATACAAGGTAAGGAAAGGATATGGAATTATGTTTTAGTAGGAAGATTTCTGATAAAAAGCAAATTATTTTAGTGATGATAAACTTTATCGTATTTTCCAGCGTATAAGATGACTTTCTAACCATGCAAATCATCTCCGAAGTTGGGGGTCGTCTTATACGGCGAGTCATCTTATACGCTGTAAAATATGGTAGTTATAGAGAATCCCTTCCTGTTATGTATCCATAAGGAATTCAAAATGATTAAGAATGGGATAGAAATGTTTCAACCCAGTTTTTGGGCCTCAAGCTGGAGCACAGATGTTAAAGATGCATTTTTTTCCAACATTACTCCCATGCTGGGTGAAACTCTAAAATTCATTCTGTGATTCATTTCTAAGAGGTAATCCCACAAAAGTAAAGTTGATTTCTAATAGGTTGCTGCTATTACAGACTATGCCTGTAATCTGTGTAAGTTGGAGTAAAATAGATTTCCTATATGTTCATAGAGAAAAAAAGGAACAGGTGGAACAGATAGTGACTTAATGCTTTTATGGAACTGGCAATATTTAATGGAAAATTTGCTTTATAGCATATCAGAAAGTATATTCATGGTTGCAGGATCACTGGATACTTTGCCTCCATTTTCAATGAGCAAAATATGTCCATTGTTTTGAATCAATGGTACCTTGTCCTGCACAGTTTTCTGCACCTACCTCTTCTGCTTTTTATATGAACTATTTATTTTGTGGAGTTTCTTTGTAGAGACATATGCTAAACATATTTTCAATAATGTACATGTAATGCAAGCTGTAGAGCAGGTGAAGGGACTTTTTTTGGTCAGTGCATTATTGGGTTCCATATTTGTTAACATACTTGGGGAAATGCCTCAATAGATACTGTGAAATCATATTTTACAGCATAGGCCTACTTTTTAATATCTCAGTTGTAATAGGATGATAATTGTGCCTAGTAAAATTTGATATAATGGCCTTGAAAAAAGACAAGTACAGATGGACTTGATTTAATTAGCACTTGTTCAGTAACTATCTGAACTTGTACTGTGCTGAACAAGTAGTAGTTACACTCAGTCCTTGAAGTTGTGCATCATGATCTGAGCATTAGGCAACTAGCCCAGATTTCAGACCTTCGCAGCATCCTGAGGTCATGTGATCATGATTTATGGCATTCTCTGCCGGTTTTGCACAATTAAAGTCAATTGGGAATATGGCAGAAAGTTAGAAGTCGCAATCATGTAAGGTCCTTGTTTAATGATGCTTATGGTTCTCACTTAACTAGGAATTGATAGAATTTTTAACTATTTTGCATGCACAATTTATTTCTACCATGGTCAGAATTATGGTTCTTTAGACTTGGGGAGGAAATAATGCACATCCATGCCACTTGTCTTATACATAAACTTCACTTCTATTACTGGGACATGTTGTATAATACTAGGCTCAGATGCTTCATTTCTAAGGCTGGATTTACAATATAGTACAACAGATTTCAGCTTAACCTCTAGCAAGACTAAGTGGTTTTGGGATTTGGGGCCTTCAGATTCCAGGATGTCAGAGTTAGTGCCTACAGAGGGGGAGGTGGTGTAATGGACTACAGTGAAACAGCAGCTTTCCAGGAAGAAGGGAACACATTCCAAAAATAGGGATGAGACAAGAGGCAGCACGACCTGGAGCTTGATAGGAAGCAGAGGAAGAGAGTAAGGATGACTCCCTAGAATCTCCCAGATATATCCATTAGATTGAGAATAATAAGGGTTTAGTTTGGCAAGATTTTGTCTATTGTGCATAAGCAGATAAATAACTGAACTCTGACTGAATTGTTCTACATTGTTCTTGAGCTTAGTCTGACACAAAAATTATGTTGATG